AAACAGCCTGCTGAGAGAGAGTTTGTTATATTTCAGATGTATGAAGAGAGAGTGCAGGGCAGTGAAGACGACATCATCTGTGGCTGTATTCAGCTCGACGACAGTTATTATTAAAGCTAACGCCTACTGGTAGATCAGCCCAGTAAATACGGTGTTTCTGTGTTTTCACTGGTTCATGAATGAATGAATAAGCTCTTATTCAACAATGACACCAACCAGCTTATCCAAATCTACTGATGCTGTTGACTGGACTGTCAAAATGCATAAATCGAGTTCTATTTTTACCACCAGTTTTTAGCACCAGTTAACGAATGTTTTTAGATGTTAAAGAATTCAACAGAACTTGTGGTAAAATACCAAATATAGAAATGTACCACATAGTGCCATTTTCTGTATGAAGCTGCTGGCTCTGTGGACATGAGGAAGATCAGTTTGAGATATTCTCAGATATCTATTGTTTGCAGCACTGAACTGGTGTCCCTGACTTGACTGAAGAAGGTGGGATAGAGTTTTATCCTTAATGGGGACGATGTTCAGGAAACTGGAAGTGTCAGCAGGTGTTCTAAGGAGCTCGGAAAGAAAAGCGTCTGGACGTCTTTCAGTTTCTTGAAGATGTTTCATCCGAGAAGCTTCTTCAGTTCTAAGAGCGACTGGTGGAGCGTCCCAGATTTTAAGCCCTATGGGAGTGTCCCCAAGAGGGTCGTGGACCCCCTATTGATCCTCTGCCTAATCACATGAGCAGTACTAGAAAAATTACCATTCCTGGTGCAACTCTGTAAGCCTTAGTCTTCTGCAAGAACAACACATTTCACAGCTGTCTGTGGCTGTTTTATCATGTCATCAATACTTGCATGCAATGTGGCAGCTGAAAGATCCACAGTAAACACTGGAGTGGAGTTTGAATCAAAGGCTGAAGAAGATGAGGAGCAAGACGGTGCACTGCAGTGTTCACACTGTGTACACTTCTCTGTCTCACTCACCTTCCTGTGAACTCATCAAAATAATGCAGAGCAACAAAAACTGCAACCTGGGGCAGTCCTTATTAAGGGTTACTTACTGTGGACTACATCTCAGAGTGTTCATATTTAATATCGCTGATGCTGGGATTCTTATATTTACATAACACAAAACTAAGAATCAGCTGGACAGGAAATGTTTGAAAGGCTGCCTGAATCATTAAAGAAGGGTCTGATGTGATCAGCACCTGGATGTGAGCTGATTGTCAGCAAAGTTTCCTTCACTTTGTCTGGAGTCAGTCTTGGCTGTTGAATCATAGAGAGTGATGGATTCAGGATCTGCTGATTGGGCATTTTGTGACAGAGAAAAGTTGTTTCATTTATTATGTATCATGTATTCATTTTTGTTACATCCCCACGATGAAGGTCTGTGTGTGGGGACTGGTAACAAATGGGTCCAGAACAGAATGAAAGGAGAACAGACAAAAATGTGTAGTAAATAAGGTAGTTTTTATTATCGAGAACCTTCACATAAAGAGCCAGCAACGCCGTTTTACCAATAACACCAGAAAAAGAAAAAGGTTGCAAAAACAAAGAACACAACAACCAAACAAAAATCTCCACACCACGAGGAGGCACTTCCAGGGGCCCACAAGCTCACCCTGTCACTAGCAGCAGCTAGCTTTACTGTGTTGAGGCCCACAAGCCCACACTACTCACATGAAGCAGCTACACTGCTTCCACAACTCCACACTTCAGGCAGGACAAGAACACAAAGCGAAGACACCAGAGAAAACCACACTCTCACATCCAGTTCATCCCCAGCTTATATGACCTCAGAGAGGTGATTGCTGACTGGGCCCAGGTGGTAAACGAGAACGAGGCCAATGAACAGCAGCTGTGTCCTGGGGATAGAGGAGCGAGAAAGGGTGGAGCAAGAGGAGGCGGAGAGAGAACACCACACCCACACAAAGCAGTTTCAGTTTCAAACTTGGTCATCAGTCTGTGGAGGTGACCATGGAGGTTTTAACAGACATGAACAGACCTGATCTGATGCTGAGGCTGTCAGAGAGCAGCTCAGGTGAGACCAAACAAAGTTTAATAAATAGATTTTCATAATTTACGATAAATTTGTTTAAACAACTTCTAATCAACAAACATTAAAATAAACTGATGAACAGCTGATGCTGTTAGGTATCAGCTTGTAATAAGAAACAAAATGGCACCATTTATTACAGAAAGGTTTTAGAAAAGAGCTCCATAGAACAGAAGTATAGTTTACTTGGAGAGGAAAGGATGCTGGTTTGATTCCAGTCACAGGCACAAATCCCCCTTTGTGTTATGTCAGGAAGGGTATCGGCTGTAAAACTGCCAAATCAAACATCTGCAGTGACCCCGTATGGCAGGGCGCAGTTGAACGTAGCTTATTCCAGATTTCAAAACACATTCTTCAACATTATTCTGAAATTGCATTGAAATGGTCTGAAACCAAATCTCAGACATGACGGCTACACCTGTTTAATCAGATGACACAGCTCATTATTAAACTCTGATACATCAAACAATGACATCAAGCGTCCATATTCCAATTTTTCTTACATTAAATGTGTCATCCAGTTT